GTGAACCAGACCACGCTGACCAACTCCACCCCGTTGCGGGCTGCTTGCTTTGATGGGCACCTGGAGATTGTGCGCTACTTAGTCGGGGAGCGCGGGGCTGACCTGGAAGTAGCCAACCGGCACGGACACACTTGTTTGATGATTTCTTGCTACAAAGGTCACCGGGAAATCGCACGGTACTTGCTAGAGAAAGGGGCTGATGTCAACCGTCGGAGCGTGAAGGGGAACACGGCCCTGCATGACTGTGCTGAGTCCGGCAGCCTGGAGATCCTGCAGCTCCTGCTCCGCTCCAAAGCCCGCATGGAGAAGGATGGCTATGGCATGACTCCTCTCCGGTCACACCAACATTGTGGAGTACCTCATCCAAGGAGGGCTGCAGCAGGAGGAGGAGGCTGCAGGGAACCAAAATGGGACCTGTGCCTCAGGTGGGAGCCGTCAGAGGTGCTGCAGCGCTGGTAAGGAAGCTCCTCAGGGCTGCAGCGAAGAGAGGTGTGAGCGATGTTGTGCCTCAGCGTCCAGTCAGGATGAGCAGCAGGTCTCTAATGTGTTCTGCACTCGAGAGGCTGCAGTGGAAGCACTGGAGTTGCTGGGTGCTACGTTTGTGGATAAGAAACGTGACCTTTTGGGAGCCCACAAGTACTGGCGAAGGGCGATGGAGCTTCGGTGCGAAGGCGGGCAATACCTGCCTAAACCTGAGCCCCGGCAGCTGGTGTTGGCCTATGACTATTCCCGGGAAGTGAGTTCGCTGGAGGAACTGGAAGCCTTGATCACTGATCCAGATGAGATGCGCATGCAGGCGCTGCTGATTAGAGAGCGCATCTTGGGTCCTTCCCACCCTGACACGTCCTATTACATCCGCTACCGAGGAGCAGTCTACGCTGACTCCGGCAACTTTGAACGCTGCATTAACCTGTGGAAGTATGCTCTGGACATGCAGCAAGGCAACCTGGAGCCTCTCAGCCCGATGACAGCCAGCAGTTTCCTTTCCTTTGCTGAGCTTTTCTCTTACGTGCTTCAGGACCGCTCCAAAGGCACTTTAGCGACGCACTTGGGCTTCTCTGACCTCATGGGAGTCCTGAGCAAAGGGGTCCGGGAGGTGGAGAGGGCTCTGGTGCACGGCAAGGACCCTGTAGTTGACTCAGCGCAGTTCACCAAGACACTGGCCATTATCCTCCACCTGGTCTTCTTGCTGGAGAAGGTGGAGTGCACCCCGGAGCAGGAGCACCAGAAGCGCCAGACTATCTACCGCCTGCTGAAGTGCAGCCCCCGGGCCAAGAATGGCTTCACTCCTTTGCATATGGCTGTGGACAAAGATACCACGACAGTGGGACGTTATCCCGTGGGCAAGTTCCCCTCACTCCACGTTGTGAACTTGCTTCTGGAGTGTGGGGCTGACCCAGACAGCCGTGACTACGACAACAACACCCCGCTTCACATTGCTGCCCGCAACAACTGCCCGCTGATCATGAGTGCCCTGATGGAGGCTGGAGCCCATATGGATGCCACCAACGCCTTCAAGCAGACCGCTTACGAGCTGCTGGATGAGAAGCTGCTCACCAAGAGCACGATGCAGCCCTTCAACTACATCGCCCTCCAGTGCCTTGCTGCTCGCGCCCTGGACAAGCACAAGATTCCCTACAAGGGTTTCATCCCCGAGGAGCTGGAAGCCTTCATTGAACTGCACTAGGGTGAGAAGAGCTGAAGTCCCCGGCCTTTCCTGTCCCCTGTTTCACCCCGTGGAGGTAGCACAGCCTGAGATTTCAGGCCATCCTTGCTGAGGTGCCGAAGGCCGTCGCTGTGCTGAGACAGGCTGCAAGCTTTGTCCTCGTCTGTCACCGTCACGCTGATGTGCGCAGGGGTAGGGGAGGAGGAGGAGGCTCGAGAGCTCATGGCTGTCCCTCATTGTTGTCATCTTCAGGTACCAGATATCTCCAGTGCACTGTATCCAGAGAGGGCTCCAGCCCCTGCCCCTTCCCCTGCCAACCATCTTGTCCTGAGAAGGATGGAAAATGGAGATTCCCTGGGACCTGCTGCCTCTCCCGTTAGTGCTGGATTAGCTCAGTGTTAGGCTTTGGAGCAGCTACACATCACACACGTGCTCTAGCCCTTCCTATCCCAAATACCGAACAGCTAGGAATGCAAGTGAGGCATAAAATATCTTCCAGCTCATTTTTTCCCCACCCCCATCTCAGATGTGGTACAGTACGAGCCCCTCGGCCAGGACTCGTGCTCTGCCGAGGTAGTTGCCTTGCACGGCAGTAGGGCTGGGTATGCTGCGGACGGTTTTATTTCCCTCCCTTGGTTGGCCAAACAGCCAGTGGTGTTAAAGGCCTGAGATTTCAATGATTGTGCATAAAGCTGGGTTATTTTTTCTCTTTTAGAGCCAGGCCCTATCTATGCTGCAAGACTTCTTCAATCCTGTAAGATGTAGTAAGGTCAGTTCTGGTTAAATAGTTTCATCAATAGATGTTGGTTTTTATTAACGGGGAGGAAAACCTGCTACCTTTAAAAAAAAAAAAATTACATGGAGTTCAGGCCGTTGGCTTGCCCGTTCTGCCCGCTGTCACTCCCCTCCCCATGCAGAGGTCCCTTAGCTCCAGAGGTCTGCAGGGACTGAGCGGCACAGGGTGGCTGTGGCCGGAGCCAAACGCGCTCTGAACCGTCTGTGAGGATGTGCTCTTGCAGACACTCTAGGACGGGAGTACTTGTAGCGTGGGAGGTGTTGGGGGGCTATGAAAGCAGGTGAGTGCTGGTGACATGTTTGCATGAGGGTGGTCTGAAGGAAGAAGCAAGAAAGAAACAGAAGTTAAAGGTGCCTTCTTGTTCTTCTGAGGTTTATCAGTGTCAGCCGACTGGGCTCTGTTCATCAGCCCGTTCTGAAAACCTGCGTGGAGCGGGTCGTTAGCCTCTGGTTTGCGCTTTTGATTCTTTTTGCAACTTCCCTGAGGATGGTGCTACTTTGAAGAATTTGAAATCTCGTTTGGCTGCTGTTTGGGCGAGCTCCTTTCTTTGGTTAGGATCTGCACACAACTTTCCTCTTTTAATCCGTGGTCTCAGGGCAGGTCTTTGCCTCCATTAGCAGAACCCTGGGTGGTGGTAAACAGTCTGGGGTGGTAAACACGCTGCTGTTCCAGCAGTTTTATCTTCTCGCAGGGGGAGTGGCTGGCCTTTGGCAGCCTGTGGCTCATTTCTTGGCCCCGGGCAGAGTGGAAAGCACAGTTGGGGGTGAAGCAGCTGCCTCTGAGCTTTGGGAAAGGTCAAGACTCGGGAGAGCAGAACCCTGATCCACAACCATGCACTCTATGCTACTGAAGCTTCTCTACTTGTATTTATAAGCCAGCATATCCATATGCCTCAGTAATCCAACGCTCTCTGCCCCGTAAAGATGTTGTAGATCTGCTGTTACATTTTTGCAGTGTTAACTATAACATTTATTTATAAAGCGAGGAGGTTTAACTTTTATTGATATGTAAAGTGCAGAGTTAGTTTAGCTACATTCTATTTTTTTTTTTTCCGTTTTGGCTGAAACCTGAACTAAACTGCAGGAATGGAATTTGTTAATTTGTGAGCTGATGAGCGCTCTTAACTTTAAATAATAAAACAAAAAATGGCTGCTAGAATGCAAATGCCTTGGACTTCTTGCTGGTAAGCCTGGATTTTCAGCTCGTTTCCTAGGAATGGTATGTTTGTGGGGATGGAAATAGTGGGTGTTTGCAGTCAACTGACACAATTGGTTCATTTCATCTGAATTCACTCCTGGGAGAAGCCAACCTGTGCTGCAATTGCAAACATTTCCCCTCAAAAAGGATAGCACACTGAAGTGACACCTCTCTTTATATGTTTTGCCTTTTCTTTTGATGTAAATGAGCAGTGTGGAAGGATGCCACTTGGGTATTGCCTGCCTTACGTCCAGCTGGGACTGTGGGCATGGCCACCAGGAGGAGGGACACAGCGTGGCTCTCAGCAATTTCTATTTTTGAACCCCAGAGCTGTCAGTGGGAGGTCAAAAGCAGACAGAGGAATTAAAGGTACTGGAGTTCTACACAACAATTTGGATTTCCAAAAATGCTCAGCCTTCCCCAGGGAGGATGGGAGCAGATGGAGAAAATATTTGGATGTTTGTCCCTCCATTGATTGCTCCATCCTCAAAAATCCTTCATGATGGTTTGATCAGTGTTGCTGTCTTCATGCTAGACACGACATGTGAGCAGTGCCTGCGATTCTGGGGCAGCGGCTGGTCCTGCTCTCTGATGCCAGTCCCATCCCCAGAGCTGCTGGGAGGAGGGAGATGAGGGAGTTCTTCGTCAGCTGGGATGGGGAAGCAGCTCTGGAGCCGGGATCTTGTAGTCAGATTGCTGCGGGGTCCAGTCATGCACAAGAGCCTCAAGGAGGAGAATACTTCATGTGATAGAAGAGGGCTTTAACTTTTTTCTTTTTAACACAATCTGTAATTACACAGTAAGGACCCGCCAATTAAGTGTTAATAGTAATTACTGTGTGGGAGAAATCACTGTGTGACTTTAGGGGTAATTACACTAACCAGTCTGTATTCATTGTCTGGGGCAGACCCGGTATGTGGGGCAGAACAAGCAGCTGTGGGAGCAGTGAAACATTTCAGTGATGTCTTTGGTATCTGAGTGATTCTCGTGGGCAGAGAGGGGAGGGTTGTTTTTTTTTTTTTTCACTGGGGTGGCTGCAGCCCCTCCTGCAGCCCAGTGCCCTCCAGGAGCCCTTCTGGACACTGCCACCAACAGCATCTCTGCCTTTATTCCTTCTTACAGAGCTGGGCTTTTCTCTCCCTAATACTGCCAGTTGGCTCTCTTGACAGTCAAGCTTCCCATACAGGTTTCTTTAGAAATGCAAAAGTGAGAAATTCGCTGGGTTTTCCTGGAGCCACTTGCTGGTGCCGTTCTTTGGAGCCTCCTAATGCTGTAAGATCTGTCTTTGCAAGTGCCCTAGGACGTAAATGTAGGGATACCTCATCAGCATTTCTCGGGTTCCCAGAGAAACTGGGGAAGAACGGGGGGCTCACAGCCACACACGTGCTCT